TTTTTCCGCTTGGGAAGCGCAAGTGTGCGCGAGTTTTTCTACGGCGCTTTTCTTTCGTCGGTGAGTTGGTTTTTCTTCTATTTTTAAGTTACTAAGGTGAATGGTGAGGAAACCTTCGTCTTAACTAAACATAAGCCCCAAACAAAATATAATGAAAGCAAAATAAAAGTAAAATAAAAATAAAGCTCAGACTTGGTTCCTTACAATACTAGATGCTCACTTACACCCATTTAGATATAACATATTTTATTAAATTTTCTGATTTTATAACAAGTCAGAGACAATAACAAATACATTTTTATTAGCTCCAAATTATTTGTGACAGAAGCAAATTATACTACTAGAACTTGTATAATTAGACAAAAAAAAATTGTTGTTTGTATTTGAATTAATACGATCTAATGTCTATATTAATGTCTGTATATTTTTTTTAACATTTGCATTATGCTACATTTAATTTCAGAATTTTTGAAGGCTGATATACATTTATTATTTAAACAAGCTAAATGTTTTGTTTTTAAAGTAAGATTTTTGTTATTAAGGAGTTTATTTCTTCAAAATGATTCAGGTTTTCGTTCTAAAGTTCAGAATCTTCCAAAAATAATGCTATTATTTTAAATTATTGTAATTATTTAATTATTATTCAATAAGTATGCAATGTACTTTACATCACTCAATAGAGCAGTCTTTCAAGTTTCATCTCCCATCTAAATTCAAACATCTTGTTGTCTGCAGCTTATAGGAAGTGTCAAGAATAAAAATGGCACCCTCCACAACAGAGAAGGCATTTTGCTAAATCAGAATCACTGATCATTGTGCAATACGAGTAATTTGTAGGAGTCTTAGATATATGGCTGTTGTGGCAGGACTGACAATGAATATGCCTTAGCAAGCATAGAAAGAATTTGAGTGTCAGTCAGATGTGTGCTATGCAAAGTGACTTGCACATATCAAGAAACTGTAATGGGCAATTGTGAAATGTGGACAGTTTTTAGTGCTGTAATGCATGTTGCAACATTGTCAGACAATAATTATGATAATTTAAAATGGTAGCATTCTTTTTGGAGACACTGTATTTGATTTTATTACAAAATAATATATTGTGTGCATTATATTGTCTATATGTATATTTGAAGTTATTTAAATACTAATTTATGATTTTAAATCTTTTATATTAGGTTTAAATTTTGAACAAAAATTAATGTCATTAAGAATTCTTCAAGAAAACAGGATAATTGGCATAACTTCTTCACACACTGATCTGTCATGGTTAGAAAGAATGTTATTCAAATCTCTTAACTTGGAAGTAAATTGTACAAATGAAAATTTCTCATCAAAAGTATATATTTTTATGAATCCCTGGAATCCAATTTTTGGTGGAAATTTCTCAGTGAGATTATTTTCTCCAAATAAAGCAGAAATTAATTTTTATTTTAGGTATGTTGTTTTAAGAANAGGAGTCGTATATGCTTGTCTGCTTGAATAATATAGCGTCTAAAATTTGTCCCGTATAGTATTTTCCTTACAATAAACAGTGTTTAACAAGGAGATGCCTTACGCAATTTTCGGAGTGGGTGTGAGTTATGAGTTTTGGAGCATTTCAGAAAGTAGTATCTTATTTCAAATGTATAAAAATACCGTCGCGTTATTTAGAATGATTCCACATTCTGACATGCAATTCTTTTACAGTAGAGCGTCGTTTATCTGAAAGTCGGTTATCCGAAAGAATTCCAGTCGCCAAATTTAAATTTTCGCTAGTGCTGTGGCGCTGCAAACTTTGGCTATATCTTGGGTTACTCCAATTTTATTTTGTTGGTGTGTGTGTTTTAGCTGGCAGCACTGGCACTTTTGTGTGGTGTTTTTCTGAGGACTGTGTGAGGTGCTGAATCGAACGTTTTTGATACTTGATCAACTTCTAAAGTATATACAAACATCGCTAAACCCGATATAAAATATAGCTAAATACCAACCGAATGCCGAAAATCTATCGGGCTAGTTTTAAGGCTAATTACTAAATGAATTACGTAACCAATTTGGCTCTAGAGGTAAGCGTTAGGCGCCATCACTTTATTTAGTAATTTCATTTAGTAATTAGCCTTAAAACTAGCCCGATAGATTTTCGGCATTCGATTGGTATATTATATTATATATCACTGAATTACTGTGACAATGGTATAGCACTAAATATAGATGCACCATTTTGCCATTACTGCAACAGGTAGCACATAGCACTTGCCTGTATGGAGTATTGTTTTGCCCCTGTACACCATACTTTTCCTGTTAGTCATGCCAATTATATATCTAACTGCATTCAGGAAAAAATTTTTGAATTTAAATAATGTGACTTGCAGTACAAATTGAAAGTTCATATATAGTTAATCTGGTTCTCTTTCTCTTAGGATTTTCATGTCTGGCCTCAACATTACATCTAACTCCATTCTTGAGATTAAGGAAGGACAGTGATGGATGAACAACAGTGTGAATTTATAGGTCTACAGTTTATTCAAATTGCAACCCAAAAAGTACCCTCTGGTAACCAAGTGGTTAAAATTACTAAACACCAGTAGTCAGTTGTGAATTTGCACATGGCCAATGGGCTGGCCACGTGCAGTTTTCTGGGTTTTCTTTGCATTAGTAACACTTAAAGTGAGGTCATCTTTACATAAGTCTTTCCAGGTGCCTCTTCCTTGGCAGATCGCTCAAGTGTCACGCTGCCATAACTAAATAAATCAAACTAGTTCTAATAATTTTTCTATAAACATGATATTTACAAGGACATGCTTAACTACCAGGAAACCTGGACATCCCACTCCTCTCTCTCCTTACTAACTCATAAACCCATTGTCCCAAACTTCTTTCACTGTTACTGCTTAAGATATTCTAATATTCAGCCAAATTAATGCATATGGAACGATTTTAAAGCACAAAGTAAAGCTCGAAATCTTTCTGTGCCAATGTTTATTTTTCCTATTTATTATCATGATGACTGCTTCCTTCAAAACTTCCTGTAGTTGTAGCCTGTGTAATGTGCACTTTATTCACATGTTGAGTCTTGCTGTCAAATCTTCCGCTATTACATCTTATGCTGCAACTTTCAAAAGTTTGCTTTACTTAGATGTTTTTGCTGAGCTCTACTTTTTCAATCTGGTTTCACCAGATTTTTTTATAGGATCACATAAAAGCAATTATTCTTGCATTTTTACAAGATTTTCTCATTTAAACAAGTCTTACATCAAGCCTTTCGAATGTTAAGGTTAGCAACTTTGATCACATGTGGGGCTATCACAACCTATCCAACATGGATCTCTTTTCAAATATTAACAGTAAATCAGTATTAAGTAGTAGTAATTGACCATCCTCTCTCCCAGGAACAGGACAACTACTGCTTTTGGTCAAATTAACTTCAACCTCCATCTGCAACAGCTCCTTCTTCTTATTGGACCCACTGATATAGTGGTGTTGAAATAGGAAAATTACATAATATGAGGTTACTGGTCTGTACAAAATATGATTTAAGTGGTTTTTGAGGGTGCTGAGTTTAATTATTTGGTCCATTTTTTACAAAATTTGATTCAGTGGCAGATTACCATTTGATATTCAGCTGTGAATGAAACAGTTTGTTAGTGCTAACATCAGAAAAAAATACAATATCTTAACTTATTTAAGATATTGTATTTTTTCTAATGTTAGCTCTAACAAACTGTTTCATTCACTTTTTTAAGATATCGTATTTTTAGTTGGTGTCTACTTGACCAATGAAATTGTGCCATTTGTACCATCTGAGTATCATGATAAATGTTATAATGGTATGCTAAAATAACCAAACTCTTTATATGGTTTTCATTTTAATATTTGTTATATCATAGTATTTGTTTTGTATAACTACAAAGGTTATCTTACATAAAAGTTTACCACACTGAGTAACCAATCTAACACATTTTTAAAATTCTTTAAATTATGTACAGTAGAGGAAGAAATTTTTAAAATGTGTTAGATTGGTCACTCAGTGTGATAGACCCTTATGTAAGATAACGTTTGTAATTATATAAATCAAATACTATAATATAACAGAAGGGTTAGAAGTACGAAATAATCTAATAATCTTAATGTTTGTACTTATTTTTTGCCTGTGCAATGCTGGGCTTACCTGCTAGAAAAATCATATACAGTAGAACCTCCATTATCCGGATTTTCGATTATCCGGATTGTTCAAAATAAACAAAAATTTTACAAATTTGCTGATCTGCACTTGGCGAATTACGACACTGTTTATGTACGTGACGGAATGCATAACTTTTTTTGTTTCAACAACGTCTCACCCAGCACAGTGGTCGTAAACTCTTAAATATATTTTACGTAGTTTTAATAAATATATAAAAAAATTTTTGTGAATTGTCTTAAGGATTGCTGATGGTGTAGAAATGAAACGGCGGAAAGACTGACAGAAGCGAGGTTCTCACCTTTGTGAAAATGTAGTATTTTTTAATATATTTATTAAATGTAATTAGCGCCGGCCATGTCTTTTTACTAATTTTACGTAGTAATAAAAATATAACTTGACATACGTATTTATAAATAATTTATATTCAAATTACATCATTTCTATGACCAAGGGCGGCGTAAGGCATGGACGACGTGGGCCACCGCCTATGCCTCGCGGTCCGAAGGGCCTCGCGCCTCGAAGGTTTATGCATTACTTAAAAGCCGCGAACGCGACGAAAAAATTTTACTCGTCATAAAACGATAAATAGTTTGTCAAATTTTTATTCATAAAAATGCAGTTTCAACTGCTTTTTATTTTATAAAATCCGTCTTCTTGCGCCACCAGAGGGCCTTTTAAACAATAGGTGGTCTGTTAGCGTTGGTCAGTAGTAGTCCAAATTCAATACGAACGTTTGTTTCTTGAAAATTTGATCACTATTTAAATACAGTATTTACTTTTAATATTGCCGATATGTCATCGAAAAGAAAACGTGTTCTATTATCATTAAAAGACAAATTAAAATATTTGTTTCGATTATCTGGATTTTTCCTTATCTGGACTACCTTCATCCCCAATCAGTCCGGATAATCGAGGTTCTACTGTATTGGTAATTTGATGTTTATTGTATTTATAGTAATTTAATTAGAGATTAATTATTTATTTATTATATTCGTTATTTATTTATGAATTATTTACTTTAATTATTCAATTACATTATGTATTTCATGATTATATTTATTTTTTTTTTTAACTGTCTCCATTTTGTGGGCTCTAAGATGGCCTACTTTTAGCATGTCCACTGTTGGTTCAACAAGATCCTTAATAGGGCAGCCAGATAGTGAAGGCAGGGCCCAATATATCTGGACAGTATTCTCCCAAAAAATTTCTGGGGTTTTTGACTTGTCCAGAATCAATCATGGGACCCCAGAGTGGTAGGCTGCTGCCTTAACAGCTTGACCATCTGGTCTCATGGTTTTATTTTCACTTATTACTTGTTTGTTTGGCTTTTCTGTTCACATTATTCAGAATTAAAAAGTTTCTGATGATGTAAATTATATTTTTTGTTTAAATTTAATGATATAATAAAAGCAATTTTATAATGATAATTTCTGGATTTTGAATATATTCTGGCTTTTTTATGTTATTAGGTTCTACATGAAAGTGTATCATAGTTCACTTAAAATTCTTTCTTGCCAATATAATATTGAAACTTTATATGATTTTATACTGTTTTTATTCCATATTTTACTATATTTATATCTCAAATTAATTAAATTTCAAAAAATTTGAATATTTTAGGGAAACGACTCAACTTCTAATTTTTATTCATTGGCTTCAAGATTTGCTTTCCGAAGATATTAATATTCATGCTGTCAAAAACGTTATTAACGTCGATAAAGAAAATCCAAATTTGAATTCATCATTAAAAGAAGAATTACAATTAATATTATCTTTTGTACATGAAAATTCTGTTAAAAACAGTGAAAGTTGCCAACTGGATGCACAATTAAGTCACATGTGTTTAGATAATGCGGTGTTAGATTTTAAAGAGTATTGCAATTTCAGATTTAAGTTACTAGAAAAAGAACTTGAAACTGATGAAATTGTTGCTCAGTTGAGTTTATGAAGATATTTTAATTCTTGTATTTTATGAATTGTAATCTTTGTAAATTATTTTTATATTATAAACTGTAATAAATAATAATGTAAACAGTTTTTTATACGTTAAATAGTTTTATATGAAAAGAATAATATAATTATACTGGGTGATTTGAAAGTTTCCATACAAATAAGTGGAAATAAAATAAAATTTAATATTTTTTCTAATTATAAGAAAAGTGGAAATTTAAAATATTATTTTACTGTTAATATTTAACTTTGGTTATGACCTTCAAAATTGTGTACTAGAGCAATGCTGGAGTACAGTATGTTATCTAATATTTCTTTGTCTGGA